ACACACAAACTACATGCTCATCTGGTTTGATACTAGTTCTGATGTCCTTATTTCTTCCACTCTTCCAGTTTGATAAACACTGGCTCGGATCAGCTTCATTTGTCTCTAGTGTCGGTTTAAGCTCTGGTCTGTGGTCTCCATGAAAGGCTCCACTTTGCCACATGCCTCACACTCAAAGCTGCTGACGCTTCAGAGCCACTTCCACCGCTTTGAGAAATTCAGCAGGAATGTGGCTCTGTGTTTTCAGGACGGTGAGTGTGAAGGCTGTGACCCTGAGGCGCAGATTATAACCAGTGCACGGCACTGGTTATAATCGGCACGGCACGGCACGGCACGGTGGCTGAGTGGATAGCACTCTCGCCTCTCAGCAAGAAGGTCCTGGGTTCGAATCCCGGTCGGACCAGGGCCTTTCTGAGTGGAGTTTGCATGTTCTCCCCGTGTCTGCGTAGGTTTCCTCCGGGTACTCCGGTTTCCCCTACCACTAAAAATATGTCCAATAGTTCTGGCATGCGCCTCCTGTACTGGCACCTCCCATCTCTGTGTGGAGTGAGAGACAAATGCCCAAAAAATTAACAATTGTAAACCGCTTTGAGACTCAGATCTGCAGTGAAAAGGCGGTATATAAATAAAAACTTACTTACTAACTTACTTACTTACAGTGCAAAATTCAACAAAGAACTGACTGCTTTTTTGTCGTTCCGAGGCCTCAACGTCATTAAGCAACTATAAAAGACACTTAGACAAATCTAGCTTAAAGTTTTAAATGTAAAGAGAAAAAAAAAGCCAGACACACTTCAATGATGTTGATACTATGCAGCTTTTACTAACTGAGAAGTCGACAGTGAAGGAGTTTTATTTGTAAGAGCAGGAGCACTGGGGCTTGTTAAAAATGTAGAATAAGTGTGTATTAAGAATGAAGACAAATACAAAATAGAGGTAGGCCTTACATTTATGTGACATGGGATAAATAGATTGAAGTACTCCAACTAACTTTTTTATATCTGTAATGCATTTTGAACACCCAAAATTGTATTATTGCTTTATGTTGTTAAACTTTCTGCAGTTCAACATGGTCAAAAAACACAGGTCTGCAGGAGGAAAAGGCCTCGGTCCTCGTTCTACAGCCTGACGCCTGTCCGTCCGTGAGAGCAGATCCCTCTCTCCGTGTGGGCCTCTGGAAGGTTTCTCACTTTTTCCACACTGGGTTTTATTGAGTCGTTCTTTGCTGATGCCGATGCAGGAGGGTCTAAGACAGGGGTCTCTAACCTATAGCTCGCGAGCTACCGGTAGCTCGCGGCCCCATTTTGGGTAGCTCGCGCAAGGTTATCCATTATTTTCCTAAATTTAGCATGAGAGAAAAAAAAAAAACAACATTCGCATTTTTCGTCGATTTGTCCTATCATATTATCATATCCGTTGGTGTGTCCCGCCCCATTTACATAAATAACATATTATTTGTCTGTAAGCTGTCAATCAAAGGATCGCGCGTTTCAGTCAAACTGATACCCAGCGTTTGTTTCGTGCACGGGCCTTGACAGAGTTGATGCGGCATCATGAGCTCTGCTAAGAGGAGGAAAACGTACGCTTTTCACGAGGAGTGGGAAACGGACTTTTTATTCACAAATGTCAACGATAAATGCGTTTGTCTGATCTGTGGGTTCAGTGTGGCTGTTGGTAAACGATGCAACGTTCAGCGCCATTTCGTCTCAGTCCACGGTAACTTTTCACACGAGTTTCCCACGGGGAGCAGCCTACGAAAAGAAAAGGTGAAGGAGCTCAAATCAGCGCTTCAGAGACAGCAATCTTTATTCACCAAGACAACAAAAAAGAGTTGTGCGGCCACGGAGGCGTCATTCAAAGTGGCACACTTACTAGCAAAACACAAAAAGCCCTTTACGGATGGAGCCATTGTGAAGGATGCTATGACTGCGGTGGCTGAAACTTTATTTGATGATCACAAAAGTAAGACAGAGATTCTTTCCGCTATTTCTGATGTGCAACTTGGGGCAAATACAGTGGCCCGGAGAGTTACTGCGCTGTCACAGGATGCCACAAAACAGCTGGATATGGACATTGAGAGAAGTCAATGGTTTTCCCTTCAGTGTGACGAGTCGGTGGACGCGAGTGACACCGCGCAGCTGGCTCTTTTCGTGCGTATGGTGTTTGAGGACTTCTCCACCCAAGAGGAGTTTTTGACCTTGCTTCCACTAAAAACCTCCACCAGGGGAATAGACATCTACAACGTCGTAAAAGGATATGTGGTGGATAAAAAGTTCCCTATTAGAAAGCTGGTGTCCATAACGAGTGATGGAGCCCCTGCTATGACTGGCCGCCACAACGGATTTATTGCGCATTGCAAAGCGGACCCGGACTTTCCCAAGTTTTTGAACTACCACTGTATTATACATCAACAAGCCATATGTGCAAAGGTTCTGGATTTTGACCATGTTATGGGACCTGTTGTCAAGATAATCAACTCCATTCGAGCAAAGGCAAAGCAACATCGGAGCTTCAAATTGTTCCTGGAGGAATGCGCCGCGGATCACGGGGATCTTCTCCTTCATACGGACATCAGGTGGTTAAGTCGCGGTAAGATATTGCAACTAGGGATGTAAATCGGCGACCGGTTAACCGGTGGTTGACCGTCACAGCGTTAACCGGTCAAAGCTGTCGGTTAAAAAAGAGAAAAAGGGGAGAGGGGAGGTCTCTTAATAACGCTATTTTAAGCCCTATTTGCACGATGTGGCGAGCGGGTCTGTATCTAGCTGTGTGCGCCCATGTATTATAAACTCCGGGACGACTCTCACGCCGCACGAGCCACATATGCACACACGCGCGCACACACACACACACACACACGCACGCGCGCACACACACACATACACACACACACTTTCCCCCTCTCCATACGTAACATCCACACGCATCATCTCTCCCCTCTGTTACCGTCCAAGTTGCACTGGCGCGGGTCAGAACTACATTGGAGCTTACATTTACACACACACATATACATACACACACACACACATACACATACACACACACACACATACACACACACATACATACACACACACATACATACACATACACACACACACACATACACACACACACACACACACACACATACATACACACACACATACATACACATACACACACACACACATACACACACACACACACACACACACACACACACATACCGGTCTGTCGCGCTCCTCTGTGTCACGGAGCCCAAAGGATTCGCGCAAATACGCGGCTCCAGTCAAAGCACATGGAACATGTTTGTGTTTATGGTCCTCGGGATCAGCTCCACACACATCACTTGTATTTAAACTTTTGTGAAGACCTGTGAGACGCGTCACTCGCTGCTCTGACCATGTGAACGAGCCGTCGTTTGCTGCTAGAAAGTTTTGGTATTAACCCGCAGCACAGCAGAATGGGAAGATTAAAAAGCAGTTCTCTGTGCGCAAAGGTGCCGGAGCTGTTGCGGGTTTGGGCGCCGCTGTCTCGGCTCTGATCCAGTAGAACGCAGAGCTGCACTTATGAGAAGTACGCGGCTCGAAATGGCTGTTATTTCAAAGAACGTGGACTATTTTAAACTACGCGGTTAACCGGTTTCAACCGGTTAATGAGGCTCGGTGGTCGGTCATGAAAATTCATAGTTTTTTACATCCCTAATTGCAACGCTTTATTTCTTTGCTGGATGAAATCAAGACTTTTGTGGCGGCAAGGGGGGAAGATATTACGTTGTTAAATAATACGGAGTGGCTTCTTGATCTTGCATTTCTGACTGATGTAACAGATAAAATTAACCAACTGAACACACAGTTACAAGGCAGAGATAAACATGTGTCAGACATGATCAGTGCTGTGAGAGCATTCAGCGCTAAGCTCTCGTTGTACATCCAGCAGGTGAAAAACAAAAAGTTACAGCACTTTTCTTCTCTCTCAAACATGTGTGAAAATAATCCAGGGGCAGCCAGTGCTTTGAATGTGGACAAATATTGTGAGCTTTTGGCAAAACTTGGACAGGAGTTTGTTGACAGATTTGTTGACTTTGACAAACTTCAGCCTTGTGTGACATTTATGGCAAACCCCTTCATGGATGTGGACATAAGTGACATTTCTGGTCAGATGGCAGTACTTTTTGGTATTGATCCTGTAGAAATGGAAATGGAGGTGATTAACCTACAAAACAATGTGCAGCTCAAGTCTCAGCAGAGTTCAGGACATTTTTGGAGCCTTGTGGATCCAAATGACTTTAAGAACCTTAATGAGGTTGCTTTGAAAGTGTCTGCTCTGTTTGGGTCCACTTATCTTTGCGAGTCAGCTTTTTCGGACATGAATGCAATCAAATCAAAGTACAGGACGAGATTGACTGATCAACACCTGAACGATTCCATCAGGGTGAATTTGAGTAGCTATACTCCACAATACTCCAGTCTTGTTGAGGCCATGCAGTGTCAGCCATCCCACTGAGTATGTTTCAGCTTGAGCTTTTTGTTAGAGTGAAGTTTACATGTACACACTTTGTTTTAATTGTGGCAATATCAAGTGTTCTTTGTTATTTTGATAATAATATCGCATGTTTCTCACTTTGTGCATTTTCTCTAAACCATAATGGAAAAATAAATATTTCCGAGCTTAAGTAGCTCACGCCTGATTTTTTTAATTAAAGTAGCTCACAGAGCACAAAAGGTTGGAGACCCCTGGTCTAAGAGGATGTTCCGGAACATTTAGGACATTTAAGGACATTTATTAACATTTATGGACATGGCTCATCCCTCTCCCTATGCGTTATATAATGTTATTATTGCCTTTTCTCTGTTCAAACTGTTTGATTCTCTAATATGTGTAAATAATTAATAATTTTATGTTGTCATTTTTTAATGTTGTTGAGAATGAGAATACCACAGACGGCTAAATCTGAAACGCAACGCTGTGTAAGTCAAATCTTACATGGACGTGTTAATTGTGTTAATTGTGTTCAGATTCAGCAGCTGGAGGCTCAGGTGATGGATGCAGAGAAGCGCGCCTTTGTTTCTCACCAGCAGGTAACACATTCACCCAGTTCAGTCTCCTGCTGTCGGAGCTGTGTCTCTTACCGTTGCTACTCTCAAAATGGCTATGGTTTATTGTTAAATACAAGAAATAAGAAAATGTCTCTTTTAAAGGAGCAATATGTAAAAATCTGGCCAAAAGTAGTGCTGCAGTCATGGTCAAAATTCTGTAGTCTTTTCCCACTCTCCCTGACTCAGGTTGCCAGATACGCAGCCGAATCCAACCCAATTGAAGAAATGCTGGGACCATAATAGCTGAATAGACAATCTATAACCAACACATTTTACACAAACACGTTATGTCTCATCACAACAAATGCCGTACAAAACATTATCAGAGCAGTTTTGTTCCCACGGCAGTCACCTTAATGAACAGGCTGTAATTTCTTATCCTGGGGTTTTACTCTGGAGTCCTGACTAAGCACCTTTTGACCACTTTTACCTTCTTTTCACCTTCTTTTCATTAATTATCTGTTTTGTTTTTATTGTTATTTATGTAAATGTTATTTTTATGAAATGTTTTGTTGTAGATATATATCTTTAAAAAAAAAAATCTAACCACGGTTACAAATAATGGCCCCCATATGATTAGTGTCGGCATCTGAAAACTAGACTAAAACAAACTGAAACCAACACTTGCAAATGTTCAAACGGTGAAAACGCCCAGAACTAAATACAAGACATTTGACCTTGGTATGCTACGCTAGGCTACTGTAGATGAAGCCCCATAACACCCGAGGCCTGTGCATCTGTCTCCATCAGTGTGTGCGTGTGTGTGATGCAGCTGCAGTGGATGGAGGAGAAGCTGAGGTCTCCAGAGGACCAGGCCGCGGACAGTGAAGTGCGTCTGTTTGACCAGTGTCGGGGTCTGCAGGCCTCGCTGCAGGAGAAGACTGACATCATCTCACATCTGGAGCAGCAGCTGGAGGAGCAGGTCACATGTGTTCAGAGACCAACATTAGGATCTTATAGATAGATATTTTAATGATCCCTGTGGGAGACATTCAGGTGTCCAGTAGCAGCAGAAAACCTCCATCCATAAAAACAAAGCAAATAAATACTAATAATAAAATGCAGCAGTATTCAGGTCACAGCAGCAGAGGTGGAGCATGGTCCGGACCATTTTCTCTGCTCTAGTCCAAAGTAAAAGGCTGAATGCTTCATTAGCATTTTCCAAAAAAGTATGTAAGTAATCTTTATCTATATAGTGCATTTTTACTGACCCAAAGCGCTTTACAAGGTTCAGGATTCAGATACTTTTCCACTCACTCCAGACGCAGGGATGAAGGAAGCAAGAACACCATCCACGCATTCACTCATTACATGTTTTTAGTGGGAGGGGAAACCTACGCAGACACTGGGAGAACATGCAAACTCCACACAGAAAGGCCTGGAAGTGGAATCAAACCCAGGACCTTCTGGCTGTGAGACACAAGCTCTAACCGCTGCGCCACTGCTATGGATTCTTTTGTAAATGAATACACAAAGGAATTCTGGGAGATGACGACAGACTTACACAATAGTAGAAGGCTGGGCACCTGTTAGCAACTAAAATATTAAAATAATAAACCAGTTTATTGTCTTTACAGAAACAGAACAGGCTACAAGACGCCAAGACGGTGGAGGAGAAAGCCGCCAAGATCAAAGAGTGGGTGATGCTCAAGCTGTCCGAGGTATTTCAGTCTATCTCACTCAGACCGACACTCGTCTGTGTGGATTACTTTGAGGTCATGTTTTTCTGTAGTTTGAAGTGGAAAATGCAGCTTTGAGAGAAATGAGCAAAGAGCAGGAGACCCAGATCGTGGAGCTACAAAAACAAGTGGAGGGTGAGTAAAAAACGGACCCAGACCAGGATAAAACTATAGGAAGGAACCAGGAACCATGGGGCATCACTCCCTCAGCACAATACCAGTTTTAACTTATGCTGTGCTGGTCCTGAACTGGTTCTGGTTCTGCTTGATTTTCCACCAGGTAAAAAAAGTAAAAATGATTAGTTACTATGGCAACATACTGTTAGCATTTGGTCTTTAACCCTTTAGGCGCCAGAGTTTTTTCAAGAAAATATACAATTTTGATTTCAAGATTTCAAAAGGCTATAACTTTAAAATGGTTTGAGATAAAGGCATACTGTAAATTAGAAATATCTTCAGTTTGAACCAAACTTTGGGATGGAAGTTGATTCGTCATCTAATTTGCATATTGTGACGTCATCAAGGTGGCGGCCATTTTGGAAAATGTTAATTATTGTATAAAGACTTCAAAAAGCTGTAGCTTGGGAGTTATTTGAGATCAGGGAATACTATAAACAGTCAATGTGAAATATCTTTAGTATGAAATGAATTTGGGATAGAAATAAATTCCCTGATCCAGATTATAGATAATGTTTTAGCACTGGTTCGCAGCCATATGGAATTGTATTATTTTCAAAGACCTTCAGTGATCAAGACAGCACTCTTTATAGTTTACAGTCATGAAATCTTGAGATTGGTTTCAATATTTCCCTTTCAGAGAAGTAGTAGGCTTACTATTTTTCTCAGTGGAAATGAGGCTCCAGGATTTACCGTTTAGAAACAGAGAGATGAAATGAATGGGCTCAGAACTTGTCAGACCGTCTCAACAACATACAACAGGCTCTTCAACACTTCTGATCCACTTTTGTGAATTATTTTCTCTCAAGAACTGCCTTCATCCTCATCATCGCTGTTGGTAAAGGCAGTGAACGCGAAAAGCGATGTGTTTTTTTCCCGCGGCTCTCCCGCGACTTCTCCCGCGTCTCCCGTGTTCCCCGTGGATGTCTACCCCCGGTACTTTCTCCCACATGCCCGGTGTTATGATCACCCTGTCCCCTCCACCACGGCCCCTGCTTGGCGTTCACAGAATGCTTCTACCGCGGCCACACGGAGGACATGCAGCCGCTGCACATGGGCTGATTGTGGACTATGGAGCGCTGTCTCCCCGTCACCAATAATGTCCGTGTCTGCTTCACTGGACACCTGTGTGTCTTCCTCCTCTGAATCTGAGTGAGCCAGTACCAGACCAAGTACTTCTCTGGTACTGAAGACCTCGTGAGTAAATAAAAAACACTCTTTCCCTCTGCTCTGCTCTCGCTCCTCTCAGCTCTACCGCTGCTGCTTCGCCTCCGCGCTGCTGCGCCGCAGGTGTTTTACGAACTCAATTTACTCAAAAACTTTCAATATAACCACACCCACAAATGTTGCTCATATTACAGGCACACATGTCCACTAACCCCTGGTGAAAAGTATTAACAAGATTCTGCACCACATTTTTACATACAGCCTGTTTAAGTGAGCAATGTTGCTTGTCGCAATATTGCGACTTTGGCGCTTAAAGGGTTAACATTAGCCTGAAATGCTAAAACCTGATACATTTCTAAGTGTTCCTCAATTTATTTGGGGAAAACTCTTTGGGGCATTTTATCAGAACTTGGTGTGAATGGGAGCAGTCAAAACTGAGATACAGATACAGTGTATCTGTATCTCAGCCCATCAAAAAGTGACCCACAGAGATCTTTCTTACATGTATGGAAAAGAAATGTTTTCAGAAGAACATATTGTGGTTTGATTTGTTCACAACATTTACTTTTACAAATCTCTCTCTGTTGACACAAAAGTTAGATACCCCAGCTTTAATAGACATTGTTTTTGTTGATCCTTTTCAATTCATGAATATTTCAGTCATATCTCCTGTGTTTAAAGGACAACTCGCCCTCAAATTTTTTTTGCTGATAAACGATTTAAATGAGTGTCCAATAGCTTTCTGCCTAAAACCGTCTGTGAGGCGCCATCTGCTGGCGACCTGTATTACTACATTTGAATTTTGAATCTGGCGCCAACACTGGCGCGGCAGCAAGACCTGACGTCTGCAGCAAGACTTGACGTCTGCAGCAAGACCTGACGTCTGCAGCAAGACCTGACGTCTGAAGCAAGACCTGACGTCTGAAGCAAGACCTGACGTCTGAAGCAAGACCTGACGTCTGAAGCAAGACCTGACGTCTGAAGCAAGACCTGACGTCTGAAGCAAGACCTGACGTCTGAAGCAAGACCTGACGTCTGAAGCAAGACCTGACGTCTGAAGCAAGACCTGACGTCTGAAGCAAGACCTGACGTCTGAAGCAAGACCTGACGTCTGAAGCAAGACCTGACGTCTGAAGCAAGACCTGACGTCTGACGCAAGACCTGACGTCTGCAGCAAGACCTGACGTCTGAAGCAAGACCTGACGTCTGAAGCAAGACCTGACGTCTGAAGCAAGACCTGACGTCTGAAGCAAGACCTGACGTCTGAAGCAAGACCTGACGTCTGCAGCAAGACCTGACGTCTGCAGCAAGACCTGACGTCTGCAGCAAGACCTGACGTCTGAAGCAAGACCTGACGTCTGAAGCAAGACCTGACGTCTGAAGCAAGACCTGACGTCTGAAGCAAGACCTGACGTCTGAAGCAGGACCTGACGTCTGAAGCAGGACCTGACGTCTGAAGCAAGACCTGACGTCTGAAGCAAGAGCTGACGTCTGAAGCAAGACCTGACGTCTGAAGCAAGACCTGACGTCTGAAGCAAGACCTGACGTCTGAAGCAAGACCTGACGTCTGAAGCAAGACCTGACGTCTGAAGCAAGACCTGACGTCTGAAGCAAGACCTGACGTCTGAAGCAAGACCTGACGTCTGCAGCAAGACCTGACGTCTGCAGCAAGACCTGACGTCTGCAGCAAGACCTGACGTGTGAAGCAAGACCTGACGTCTGCAGCAAGACCTGACGTCTGAAGCAAGACCTGACGTCTGAAGCAAGACCTGACGTCTGAAGCAAGACCTGACGTCTGAAGCAAGACCTGACGTCTGAAGCAAGACCTGACGTCTGAAGCAAGACCTGACGTCTGAAGCAAGACCTGACGTCTGAAGCAAGACCTGACGTCTGAAGCAAGACCTGACGTCTGAAGCAAGACCTGACGTCTGAAGCAAGACCTGACGTCTGAAGCAAGACCTGACGTCTGAAGCAAGACCTGACGTCTGAAGCAAGACCTGACGTCTGAAGCAAGACCTGACGTCTTGAGCAAGACCTGACGTCTGAAGCAAGACCTGACGTCTGAAGCAAGACCTGACGTCTGCAGCAAGACCTGACGTCTGCAGCAAGACCTGACGTCTGCAGCAAGACCTGACGTCTGAAGCAAGACCTGACGTCTGCAGCAAGACCTGACGTCTGAAGCAAGACCTGACGTCTGAAGCAAGACCTGACGTCTGAAGCAAGACCTGACGTCTGAAGCAAGACCTGACGTCTGAAGCAAGACCTGACGTCTGAAGCAAGACCTGACGTCTGAAGCAAGACCTGACGTCTGAAGCAAGACCTGACGTCTGAAGCAAGACCTGACGTCAGCAACCCCCCGCCCAGAGCAATGTAAACGGCCCAGTCTCGTTCACGCCCCCTTTAGTCCTCCAGGCCACGCCCATTTAGAGGAAGATTTGAACAGGAAATGTGAGTGACGTAAGCTCCGAGGAGCGGGGGTGAGAACCACTTTAAGACATCATAAGTTATATTTTCATAACATGCTTATTTACATCCATGCTAACATTGAGAAGCCTTTGCTCTGACCCCATTTCCACCACCACCTGTGCTGTGTTTCTGAACCGCTGCCTCACACAGGCATTTTGGCACATTTTGGATTGAATGATTGAAGGATGCAGCCAGCAAACATTTAACCAGTTCTAACTCTATGTAAATATACTTTTATTCTGCTGTAGATCCACATTGAGATTGAATACATGTTGATGATCTATGGCAGGGGTGGCCAACCATAAAGAAACATAACCAAACATAAAGACAGTTGTGTTTCTGCTGAATACTGGTTTGAAACTTGCTTTCTTAATTTCGGAATCATAATTGATGTTCGCTGACGTGTGATTGTTCTGGTATCGACTTGCCCGGTTAGAACCAGGGCCAAACCATTAATAAAAGGTACCGGGGAGCGGCTGAAGCGAGCGGTGGAACTGCCTGCAAACCGGGGAGAGTCAAGTCCAGCCCTTTAGTGCTGTAGGAGTCAATTTCTGTCATTATCATCTTCATGACATTTACAATACATCTGTCTGAGCAGAGGTGTGTGTGTGTGTAAGGGTTGGGGTGATGTTTATGTAGTGCACATTTGTATGATGTGGCTCTTTGCTGTAACACAGTAAAGAAATTGGCTCTTAGTCTGTGACTGGTTGGCCACCCCTGATCTATGGAGATCATCTCCGGTGTTTTACTGGTTTGTCATGTTTTTGCTACATGAAAATATACATAAATTGTTTCTTTAGAGCTGGAGCGGAGGAGTGCAGCGTCCCAGTCCAAACCCGGGGAGGCACAGCGTCTGAGCAGCCTGACCTTCGGATGTTTCCAAGTGCGAGGGAAAAGTCCCCAGGTCCTGACCGGTCTGGCCCCAGCACAAAGGGCCCTGAGCTCCACTGGGGAGGCGGAGGAGGGGGACACTGCAGGTACAGATATGGTTATTTAGGTCATTTTAGGCTTCCTGGGACAAACATGTGTTATTGACAACAAATAAAGTTAGGTACCCCAGTTTTATATTGATATAAAAAAGGCAAAAGAATTATACTTTGTGCCAGGAAATGTAAACAAGTTAAAAGTTTACTCTAAAAATCTGGTGTGACCAAGATGTCAGAGTTTAGGGAGGTTCATCTTGTCTGACTGATCAATCATGCCGTCGAAACATGTCGAGATAAAAACATCACCATCGTACTTCTCTGCTATAGGAGAACCAAATAACTTCACTGAAATTTTATATTTTTGTGTTTGTCTGACAGAGAAGAACGGTGACGCCTCTGCTCCAGACGCCAATGCACACAGTCCTCCACAGTCCGGCCCTGTCCTGTGTCTGGATGAAGACAGTGCCTCTGAGGGCCTCTCTGAGGGCCTCTCCGAGGGCCTCTCCGAGGGCCTTTGTGGCCTGACGTCTCGGGGCGTGTCCTCCGTCCTGTCCAGCGCAGCCTCCGAAGGCGACGGAGTGTGTTTGGAGGAGCGTGGAGGAATGTTTGCCTCTCTGGAGTTCAGCCGTCCTCCCAGCGAAGCTTATCTGACCGCATCGGATGACAGCAGCTCCCTATTCGACGATGACATGCAGCGCACACTCGGCGGCAGCAAAGAAGCCGTCAAAAGCAAATTGGAAGATTCAGACGAGCTCAACAAACGCTTCCAATCCCAAAGGCTGGACTCGTCATCGTCCTCCAGCGACAACACTCCCAGCCCGGTTCTAACCTCAGCGCTCACCCCAAAACGCCCGCCCCAAGATTCTAGAGACACTCCCGCGTCTCCCAAACAGCCACGCCTCAGAACCACCGCAGGGTTTGGACTCACAAACTCGGCGTTAGCCAAAAAACACTTGAGTCAACCTTCGATCTCATCTGAAATCACTCACGGACAGACCAGGAACGCTCTCAGCATGCTACGTCCGCTCAGACCTCACGAAACCAACCTAGACCTCGATGTTGGCATGGAAATGGGGATGGAGGCCCTGACGAGGTCCAGAACCTCCAGTACTGCTGCTGTTGATGGTGGTTCTGGTGCTGGTGGTGTTGATGGTTCTGGTACTGTCGATCCACAGACGGAAGGAGGGTCTGATGAGATGACCTCGGGGAACAAACCTCCCACTCCTCCTCTGCACAGGCTCCCGTCTTGGGTGAGAACAAATATGTTATAAACATGTTTTTATTCACATTAATGCATGTGTTGGCTTTGTCCACCACATTCATGCACACATCAAACTCCGACTGAAAAAAACTGCCAGAAAGTTTTTACTTTAAGATAATACAAATGTGCGCGGCGAACAGGTTTGAGAATGATCCTTAATGACTATGTGCTGTCATTGCTCCAAACATCAGGTCCTTTGATCCCGTAGAGTATTCTTTAGTTTAAACACATTTCTGGATAAATGAAATAACTGAATTATTCACTCTTGCATTTAAAACATCTCTTGTGTAGAATCTTTTATTGAAGACTTTGAAACAATGCTGTGTTGTTTCCCTAAATCACAGCAGCATCATCTCAGAGTTAACAAAACCATTGAAATCCCTGACAAAGATCAAAGAATCAACAGTTAACACACATAAAGAATATAGCACACATGTTGTCCTGGATCATCACAGTGCTTTTGTGAGACACTAGATTGATTCCTTTTATTTGCCATTTGCAGTAAAACCACATTGGAATACATTAGCAAAAGTCTCCAGTGTGCACAAGACAAGTAAATGCATAAAACAACATTCAAAGTACAAATAAAACACACAGGCTCCGTGCTAAACCGCAGATATCTGTGTTTACACCGTCACCATGACAACGCATCATAAACCAATATATAAAAAAACTCCGGGCAAAGTGGAGATTTTTGAGAACTCTGTTTATGCATTTGCTGTAGACCGAGACAACCGGAGTTTTGTGTTTTCGTACGTCACAGTCTGCTCCAAAACGACAACAAACACATGCAACCTCAGAAGAAGGATCTGACTGCCTTAAAACTGTTCACAGCAGCGAAAATCAGAGAGATTTATTTAATCCTAATGGTATTACTCCTTCAACGGAATGCAAGAAGTTTACTGGCCAATGGACAGGAGTTAAAGCATTTTATTAGAGAACTTGATGAACTGCCTGATGTAATTTGTGTCCAGGAGACTTGGCTTAAGCCTTCTTTTGATTTTATTATATATGGTTATTCTGTGATTAGAGGTGATCGAGAGCGTGGGGGAGGCTGTGCCACATTTATTAGAAGTGATATTCCGTACAGGGGGCTTGGAGAAGGTGGCAACCTGGAGTGTGTAGTGATTGAAATGTGGAATGGAGGGGAATCAATAGTGATCATAAACTTTTATAACCCATGTCTCAGTTTAGATCTTCAGAGTTTACTTGGCATTCAGGGGCAAGATCGGCAGAGAGTTATTTGGTGTGGTGACTTCAATGCCCATAGTAATGTATGGGGCAGTCAAAATACTGATGGCAATGGAAGGATTATAGAGGAGCTAATGGAAGAGCAAAACTTAGTCTGTTTAAATGATGGGGCAGGTACCAATTTAATTTACAGGTTAATGCTGTAAATGGGACTGAGTCGGTCTTGGATTTAACCCTTGTGTCGAGTGTATTTGCGGGAGCCAGCCAGTGGAATGTCAGGTCAGAAACTACCTTGGGGAGTGACCATTACCCTATTTTGAGTAGGGTGGGGGGTAAAGCGCAGCTGATACGTAGGGAAGGAGTTCAGAGGTGGGTCTTCTCCAGAGCTGACTGGAAGACATTTCAGAGAATGTGTGAGGAAGGTATGGATAATGTTATTGACTCAGACACCGTAGATAATATGAATAATCAGCTGGTGCAGGTAATGATGGAGGCGGCAGAACATTCTATACCTAAAAGTAAACCCGGACAGGGAAGAGCTCTTGTACCGTGGTGGACAGAGGATTGCCAAAAAGCTGTCAGAGCAAGGAACAAAGCATTCAGGCTTTTTAGGAGAACTCTTAATATGCAGCATTTGATTCTATAAAAGAAAACACAAGCCGTTGTTAGAAGGACGGTGAGGCAGGCAAAGAGAGCGAGTTGGAGAGGCTTCTGTTCAAAGATCGGGAGGACCACTCCTGTAGGAGAAGTCTGGAGGATGGTTAAGAGGATGGGAGGAAACAGACCGGATTGGGACTACCCTGTGTTAGTACCAGAGCACGGCACAGCAGTCTCAGACACTGACAAAGCAGAGGTTCTGGCTCAAAACTTGGTTATGGTCCAAACCTGTCAGAAGATGCACTGAGGAGAAAAGCTCAGACTAGAGCCCAGTATCCTGATGATTTGGTGTCGAAAATGTCTTTAAACCATCATTTGGACTTTCCAATAACTATGGGTGAGGTGAACAGGGCACTTAGAAAAGCAAAGCCAACATTTCCAGGTAAAGACCAAGTAAACTATTCTATGCTGAATAATTTGGGGAGTGAGGGGCGTATGAAGCTATTACTCCTGTACAATAAAGTTTGGATCGAGGGGAAGCTCCCCAGCTCCTGGAAGGAGGCTGTCATTGTGCCTGTCAAAAAGCCTGGGAAGGACCCATCGAAGCCCAGCAGCTATCGGCCAATTGCCTTTACGTCGAATATATGTAAAATTATGGAACGTGTGATTGTAGAGAGGTTTTCATATGAGCTGGAGAACAGAAGAGCATTGGCTGGTTTTCAAAAGGCAAGGAATACTAATGATGCGAGATTGTCAGACTTGAGAATGAGGTCAGGAAGGCCCAGGTTAACAAAGAGTCTGTTGTAGCTGTGTATTTTGATAAAGAGAAAGCGTATGACATGATGTGGAAGGACGGGCTATTGATCAAATTATATGGGCTTAAGATTGGTGGTAGGGTTTTTAATTGGATCAGAGATTTCCTCTTTGGACGGAAGATCCAGGTGCAAATGGATCGACCTATTCTAACCAGTATACAGTGGACAATGGAACTCCTCATCATAATGATTAATGATTCTCTGCAGTGCCCGGCAGTGTTGGCAGGTCCTTGTTTGCAGATGATAGGGCGTTATGGTGCAGAGGTAGAAACATTGAATATCTTGTCGGCAAGATACAAGATGCTGTAAATCGTGTGATGGAGTTGGGATTTGATTGGGGGTTTAGATTCTCAGTGGAAAAAACTAAAACAGTCTTTTTTACCTTGAAAAGGGTTGGAGAAGAGCTTAAAATTCAGCTCTATGGAGAGGAAATTGAGAGAGTAAGATCATTTAAGTTTTTGGGTGTCGTTTTTGACTCTCATTTGACTTGGAAAGACCATATAGATAGAGTTGAAGGAAAATGTAAAAAAGTTATAAATGTAATGAGATGTGTGGCTGGGAGAAATTGGGGAGCGAGCTGCTCTGCACTAGTGAGGCTCTACCAAGCATTAATAAAGTCAATACTGGACTATGGACTATGGATGTGTGGCTTATGGGTCAGCAGCTCCATCTGTGTTACAGAGGCTGGACGTAACACAGGCCCAAGCCTTGAGAGTGTGCTGTGGTGCATTTAATACCTCGCCGATAAATGCCTTGCAAGTGGAAATGGGAGAAATGCCGTTGGATCTGAGAAGAAAACAAATCATGGTAAATTACTGGTTGCATTTGGAAAGCCATGGAGAGTCCCATCCTACTAAGGGAATGCTCAGGGAATGCTGGGAGTATGGGAAAGGTCAGAAAAATCATTTTGGCAAAATAGGAAACCATTTGGCTACAGAGTGCAGCGTCTTCAACCTGGGGATTGGTTCAGCCTTAGTGTTCTCAGCGGTGCCTCCATGGAAGTTAGTATGTCCAGGTATTGACTGGTTTTTACCAAAAGTGAAGAAAAAGGAGAAAAGAAAAGTTGATCTTGCTGAAGCCTTTTTTCATCGTGTCCAGGAATTGTATTCAGAGTATGTAAGTAAGACCCAGAAACAGGAGCGACAGGTCTTGGTGTGTCAGTCCCAGATAAGAACATTAATATCAACAGACGATCTGATGGTTTGAGCGTGTACACGGTGGAGATGGTGACAATATTGGTGGCATTACGGTGGGTAGAGCTAACCAAGCAGAACAGGATCTGTTCAGATTCAGCTTCAGTCCTCTCCAGTATCCAGTCGCTTAACTCTAGCTCCCGTCAGGACATTTTGTGCAATTGATGACAGTTACCAGAATTCAACAGCAAGGGAGTAGTGTGCAGGTCCTATGGGTGCCTCCACAGTGGGATCCCTGGAAATGAGCAGGGAAGCGTTAAAAAAGAACAGTGTTGAGCTGACAGTGAAAAGCAGCAAATCTGAAGCAAAGAGTGTGGTGTGGAGGCAGGTGGCTCTGGAGTGGCAGAAACACTGGGATACAGGGGTCACTGGGAGACATTTGTACCAGATAAAGAAAGAGGTGAGAGGTGGCAGGTTTCATGGGGGTCATAGAAGGGATGAAGTTGTGGTCACAAGATTAAGAATTGGTCACAGTGCACTTAATACGACTTTGTGTCTTATAGGGAAACATAGGACAGGGATGTGTGAGGTGTGTCAGGAGGAAGAAGAATCAGTGGAGCATGTGGTTATGAGGTGTCAGGGTTACAGCGTCTGTAGTGAAGTCCTGAAAGAGCGTTTAAAGGAGCTAGGAATGAGACAACTTGATCTTAAGAGTATTCTAGAGAAAGGCAGTAGGGCACAAGTAGGAGTGTTGTTGGCATTTTTAAAAAAAACTGGAGTGTATGAGAGGATATAGGTTATGTTAGAAGCATAGGGTGTTAGGTGTTAGGTGTTGTTTTTTTGTTTTTTTTTATTATTAGCAGTATTATTCCCCCTCCCTTGTTGGGACCATAGACTCAAAGTCTATGGTTTGGGTTTTAGATTGTGAGCCTATTGTCTAACCCACTCAGTAACAGAAGGTGGCGGTAATGCTCCACTAGTTGGCTGCCAACCGCCGTAAAAACCCAAAGAAGAAGAAGACTTAACCAGGACTAGCCTGGTTGTACCACACCATAGTACAAATGACATTTCATACTAGGGTCTGGATTTGCTCCACTGACTCCGTTAACAGGTGGGAGGGGTGAACTCCTTTTGCAGATTGAAACCATTGGATCTGAGTTTACTGTGACGTATGTAATGAGCCCGAGTGAGTTGTTAGCATTTAGCCTAGCTTTAGCCATCTCCTTTGCCGCTAACGTGGGGAGTAGCGCCACAATCTTTGCAGCAATTACATT